TTTAGCCAAATTAAAGGAGCCATTTATTAGGCTGACGGCTGCAAGAGGACTCATGTCACTCTAAAACCTTGAAGCCCCAAAGCAGGGGAAGAAAGGTTTATAAAGGTAAAAACCACAAAGGAAAAAAACTATACATCTAAGAAAGTACAGGCCTTGAGTTATGAGAAAGCAGTTTACAAAAGCCAAAAAAGTGAGTTATCAGGAAGAACAGATATAATTGGCTAGACAATTATAATTTGATGCATAAATACTGTTAACAGGACAGGGATGGGTGGCAGCGTTCACCTACTGGTGATCAGCATTCAGTAAGGAATTTTCAGGAGGCACAAATGGCTCAGGTTACTGGGAAAGGGAAATGGCAAAGGAGTCATATTCAAAATGGAGATGCTCATGCTTCAGAGGGAAGGATGAGGAATGTTGATTAATGGAAACAAAATTACAGTTATAAATAGATAAGAGGAACAACATGTAGTGTTATAAAATACTGTAGGGTGAATATATTTAACAATTTACTATACATTTCAGTGTAACTAAAAAAGAATTTTGAATGTTCCCAATACAAATAAATTATAAAAGGCTGTTATGATGAATATACTAATATCCTGATTTAAACATATGCAAAGTAATCTTGTACGGAAAAATTACATTGTTCCCCCAATATGTACAATTATTATATGTCAATTTAAAAAAAAGAGGGAACCAACAGTTAGCATAATGGCTATGTCGCTGGATTCCCATGTAGTAGACCGTGGTTCGCGTCCCGGACCCGGTGGCTTAGAACTCACGCTGGGCGCATGTGTGTGCGTGCCCAAGATCCCGAGAGGAGAATGGAGGACAAGGGATTGCAGTGTGACCATCCCCGCTGGGGGGTGATTTCTCACTTTCTGTCTCTATGTCTCTCTGTCTTTCTGGCGAGCGCATGCGCCCTATAGCAAAAACCTCTCAAAAAAAAAAAAAAGTACAAGTCTTATCTGGCAACTATCACCGACACTAATCAATAAGAACCCATCAACTTCAGTAAGACATGCTGCCTACACCAATAAACTTTCTTCCAAAACAACTTGTTTAAGTTCCTGTTACCCCAATAAAACCCTAAGTTCTTTCTTTTTTCCCGGGACTTATCAGAAGCCACCCTGGTGTGTGTATGTGTGTATCAAACTGCAATTCTACTTCTTGTACATTATTCTCACATAAATCTTTTGCTTGGAGATTCATTTCTATAAATTTTTATTTAATGTTGACGATTTGAAGGACTATGGTATTTTTAATTTGTTCCTGGTAGGTATCCCTTCAATTCTATAATTTTCTATGTGTTTCTTTCCAAAAAGTGAGCACATGAAATGGTCAGTTAGTAAGCAGTTAGAGATCATCTGTTAAACTGCCTCCCACTAGGCATAACTATATTTTAAAAGTAATTCTGCAAAATAACTCAAATAAAAACAAAATGCAAATGTCTCAATTTTTATTATATATTGGTATCATTTCCATAATTTATAACATGAAATATAATACCAATGTGAAGATAACATTTACGTTTCACACTTAATTTTCTTTGGTTACTATATACAACTTTTGTCAAGGTGTAGGGTGATAGTGGTACTAACTGTAAATGGTAAATGACTTACAGTTATATGTGATCTGTCACTTATTAATATTAACAATATAAACTTGACCAAACTATTTAACTATATAAGTCTTACATTCCTCATTATAAAAATTATGATAATAATACTGTCCCTCACAGAAGTCTGTATGAATTCAACAAGTTTCAGAATTCTGTAGCAGATAGTACATATTTAGCCAATGCATATGAAATTTCTCTGTACATCCCATACTACTATAAAATGGCACCATCATCATGAACATACTGTATTAAAGATCATATGTATAATCTTCATTTAGTTAAAAAATGTTACATCGCATAAATAAAAAGGAATATAAATTTGATTTTATATTATTATATATTATATTGATAAATTTTCATAAGAAAGATTCTTCTACCTTAAAATTGTTCTAGAAGGCAAAATTGTTTCCATTATTAAAAACTGAGATTGTGGGGACCAGCAGATGGCATAATGGCTATGTCGCTGGACTCCCACGTAGTTGACTGCAGTTCGAGTTCTGAACACAGTGGCTTAAGCTCACACCTGGTGCATGTGCATCCATGCCCAAGATTCCAAGAGGAGAATGGAGGAGAAAAGATTGTGGCATGGCCATCCCCCCTGGGGGGTGATTTATCACATTCTGTCTCTTGTCTCTCTCTGTCTTTCTGGAGAGCACACGCGCCCTATAGCAAAAACCTCTCCAAAAAAAAAAAAAAAAAAAAAAAAAACAACTGAGGTTGTGGATGCCAGAATGGAAATGCAGCAGTAAAATGCGATGCTGGGTGAGACTGACCCATTTGGAAAAATTTGGAACTCATGCCTGGAGACCTCCCTGAGTATGCCAAGCACACACATGCCTGTGATCCTAGGCTAATGGAGGTTAGGGGTGAATATGGCATGAAGACCTTATAGGGGTTGCTGTCTGTTTCTCTCTATATATCTTTCTTTCTTTCTTTCTTTCTTTCTTTCTTTCTTTCTTTCTTTCTTCTCCTTCTCCTTCTCCTTCTCCTTCTCCTTCTCCTTCTCCTTCTCCTTCTCCTTCTCCTTCTCCTTCTC